AGATTCATACTGCTGACCTTTTGGTTAGTAGGTGAGCTCTTAACCACTGAGCCACCAGGGCTCCATTTTTCTCTACAGAGAAGGCTAAATATAACAAATAACAGACAAAGACACCATGCATGGGGCTTGTCACAGCGAAGGGGCTTAAGAAATGCAAAGTCCTACGCATATCGAGCTCCCCTGGAGAGAAACCAGATCCAGCTTGTTCACCACCATATTCCTGCATCTACAACATTAATGGGCAAGTAGTAGGCTGTCAGTAAATATTTATGGGAGGGAAGGAAAATTATTGTAGTGTTCATTAGCTGAAACCTGGAATTCTTGTTTCCAAAAAAGTCTAAGATAAATTCTGAGCCTTCCCTAGGGCCATCCTCTTCCCCAGAGGCACCTGAACTTGGAAGATGGTCTGCAGATCCCTGGGCTCACACCTCTACCACAAAGAACCTGGAGTCCACACCCAGAGCAGGAGGCACCAGAGGTCAGGGGTTCCGCAGAGGAGAAGGAAGGGAAGTGGCCTACCTTCCTCAGCGTCATTCCTCAGTGAGGCCTCCAGCAGTGCCACGCTGGCCTCGAAGGATACCTTCTTGCGCCGGCCGCCCGTGCTGCGCTTCCGCTCATGCTTGCGTTTACGGTGCTGCAAGTCCTGCTCGTACTGTGCCCATTTCTTCAGCTGCTGAGCCCGGCGCTTCTGAGCGGCGCGAAGCCGCTCCAGCGTGGGCACCTTCTCCAGCAGCTGCAGCTCCGTCAGCAGGTCCACGTGGCTGGCCATCGTCACCTTGCCTCGCCTGTCCTCGCCTCGCCACGCCCTGGCCGCGGGCTAGCGCGGTGCCCCCGGGGCCAGGGGAGCGTGGCGGCTCCTGTGGGGCTGGGGCCTCATGGTGGGGCCTGCAGGAGGGAGACAGACACAGATGGACATGATTGTCAGGCCAAAAACCTCAAATCTGATTACTTTGCCCTGTCCCATGTTCAAAATCCTTCAGAGGCTTTCCATTGCTCCTGGGACTAAAGGGCAAATCCTTACAGTAGCCTACTGTAAGGCGCCCACAGTCTGGTTATGCTGATATTGGCTATTTCAATTTTTAAATAATTAAATTAAATTAAAAATTCAGTTTGTCAGTTGCACTAACTGCATTTCAAGTACACAATAGCCACATCAGTCTAGTGGCTACCATGTTGGAACGTGCAGATAAAGAGCATTTCCATCATTGCAGAAAGTTCTATGGGACAGTGTTGGTGGTCTGCCTCTCCAGCCACAGCCAGGTTACCAGGAACCTTGTCCTTCCCGCTTTCTTATGTAAAGTCCAGGTACTTTAAGGAGTTTGGCATGTCAGTGCTGAAACTAGAAGGGACACGTGGGGGCTGCAGAACCCAGAAAGGCTGGAGACTATATGGCCGTCCAAATAGAAGCCAAGTCCTCAGAAATACGAACACCTGATGTTTCTGCTCAGGCCCCTTTTATTCTGTTCATTATGAGATGCAAGTTGTTACGGAGATGGGAGAGGCAGGACTGAGAAGAGACCAGAAGATATAATACTATGGCAGTGGTTCTCAAAGTGTGGTCCAGGAGCCCCTCAGGGGAACCCCTGAGACCCTCCAGGGGGTCCATAAGGTCAAAACTATTTTTATAACTATACTGTTATTATTAACCTTTCCAAACTCATTATCTCACAAGTGATTCCTGAAGCTACATGACAAGTGATATTGCAACAGATTAAATTAAGAGGCAGATACGAGAATACAGATGTCTCCTGTTAAGCCAGACACTAAACAGACTTGCAAAATTTTAAAACAACACTTCTCACTAAGTTTTTGTTTGAAAAAAATAGTTATTTTCCCATAAAAATGTTACATATTGTTATATAAATGCTATATTTTTATAACCTAATTTCATAAATACGTTATATGTTGTTAGACCAGTAGGTTTATTGTTATTTTTGAAAGAATTAATATTAAATCTGTTTTAAATTTGTAAGTATTAATTTCTAATATGATAAATATTGATAGGTAATCCACACAAACAAAAGCTCTTTGGGGTTATCAATTTAAGTGTGAAAAGAGGTCCTAACACCAAAACATTTGATAACTGCTGAACTACTGGGACTTAGACAATCCTAGTTGAAGTTTCCCTCCACGGATGTCCTTTAAAAAATCATATCTCTTGCGCTCATCATTTCTTGGAAATTCAGATTCTGTAGCCAATTTGTCCCCATCTTCATTCGGCCCAGATGGTACAGGCTCTCAGATGCAGAGGGAAAGAGTCTTGGAACAAATCACTTGAACCTCTCTAGATCTCAGTTTTCTCACCTGTAATATGTCCTAGCCACCTGCCAGCAGTTACAGGGTGTTCAAGGAGTCAAGAGCTGACCAAAAAAGTTATACACTTAATAGGAAAGAGAAGCAAGCTTGGAGGAGGGAGAGCAACAGGCAAGGCTGGTGGTGTGGGTTATTGGGCAGCAGAGGAAGATTGACACACGTCTACATCTGTATCATATGGAAACGCCTGCTATCACAGAGGGGATCAGGGCAGCCCTGGACTTTGGGAAGTGATTGTTAATCTCCTGCGTCCCTGCTTCACCCATTCCTCCCAGGATGACCTTCCTCAGGAGGCCCAGGTTCAGCCTTAGCCTGCTCAGATTGGGTAAGACTGCTCCACAGTCTCTCCCAGCTCTGAGACTGGAGGATAAACTGCATACAGGCAGAATGGGGAGAGGGTTGGCTTGGTGATGCTCATAGCGCAAAGGCCCTGGGGTCTGAGTGCACCTGACCTCATGCATAAACATAAGCCAATGGGGAGTCTTAGCAAGAAACGAGCTAACCAGCTTTGGTTGCCTTTTGTTTTGTTTTGAATGCCTTGCAATTTTTAAAAATTAATTAAAGTTTTTATTTTGAGATAATTGTAGCTTCCTATGCAATTTTAAGAAATAACAGAGAAAGCCCATGTTCCCTTTACCCAGTGGTAACATCCTGAATATCACAATATCTTGAATATATATAATATCACAACCAGGAAATGGACATTGATAGAGTCCACCAGCGGTATTCATATTTCCCCAATTTTACATGTACAAATCTGTGTGTGTGTGTGTTTTGTGTGATGCAATTTTCTCACATGTGTAGGTTTGTGCATCGACCACAGTCAAGATCCTGAATGGTGACATCATCACCAGGATCCCCCGTGTCGCTTTTATAAGCACACCCGTCCCCTCCCTAACGCTCCTCCCCCACACGCTGTCCCTACCCTTGACAACCACTGATCTGTTCTCTAAGGAGCCCTGGTGGTGCAACAGTTAAGCTTTTGGCTGCTGACTGAAAGGCTGGTGGTTTGAACCCACCCAATGGCTCCGCAGGAGAAAAGACCTGGTGATCTGCTCCCGTAAAGACGACAGCCTAGAAAACCCTATGGTGCACTTGGAATCGACTCAGTGGCACACAGCAACAACAATCTGCTCTCCATTTCTATAATTTTGTCATTTCAAGAATGCCATATAAATAGAATCATACAGCAGGTAACCTTTTGGGATTGGCCTTTTCACTCAGCACCATTTCCCTGAGACTAATCCAAATTGCTGCATGTGTCAGCGGTTCATTCCTTTCTGTTGCTGAGTCGTATTCCATTTTGTGGATGTGCCATAAAGAACACCTGGGTCGTTTCCAGTTTTTGGCTGTTCCATTCATGTACAGGCATTTGTGCAAACATATGTTTTCATTTCTGTGGGATAAGTGCCCAAGAACGCAATTGCTGGGTCACATGGTGATTGCATGTTTAGTTTTACAAGAAACTGCCAAACTAGTTTCCAGAGGGTCTCCACCGTTCTTCATTCCTACCAATAATGGATGAGTGATCCGGTTTCCCCACCAGCATTTGCTGTTGTCACTGTTTTGTTTTTTAATTTTAGCATTTAGATAGGGATTTTGGTTGCCTTTTTAGCAGTGAGGAGTTCAGAAGAGTTCAGTGCCCAACCACACAGTATCATCATGATGGTCAGACCTCACTGGGAGCTGGTGGACCATGTGTTTACTTCTGCCCACTTCCTCCATTGATCAAACATTTAATGAACACCTACTCTGTGACAAGCTCTAATTCAGAGATGGATCAGGGACCAGCTCTGCCTTCTAGGAAGTTCCTGTCTGTCTGTTTATCTACTTATAAATCCACTTAATCTTCCTGACAACTGAATGAGGTAGGTACTGTTGGAGTCTTGGTGGTGCAGCGGTTAAGAGCTACAGTGAGCTACAGCTGCTAACCAAAAGGTCAGCCGTTCAAATATTATCATTCCCGTTTTCCAGATAAGGAAACTGAGGTACAGAGAAGTTAAGTAACTTACCCAACATCACACATATAGACAATGGAAGAGCCAGTCTGCCTGGGGTAATCAGGCAAGGTTCTGCAGAGTTGGATCTCAAAAGATGAGTAGGAGTTCCCCAGAGGGGCAGACATGGGCTAAGTGGGAGCTTGGCAATGTTCAAAGGTATGCAAAGAGGTTGACCACAATGGTAGGAAGTCTGGAAACCAACCCACACAAACATGGCTTGAAGAGGAAGGGGCCCCAGCCTAAAGGGAACGTAAATCTTGGGGGCAGCAGTGACCAACTGTGGCTGTGGGTCAGACTTCAACAGAAAGCCCGCTGTGGTCCGCATCATGTTTTCTGTTTGGTTTTGGTCCAAACCACATCTGCCCATATTTGAATTCTCTGCCAACATTTAAAACTTGGAGATTTTATATGCAAAATCAGATTTTTAACTTTTCTTAGAAAATCTCAGTATCTGATCATCTAGGTGTTTCAAGGCAATAATCAGTAGGCACAGAGAAGGACTGTTCCTTTTACATGGGCATATACCCTCTAATTTACCACAGTCCCCCACTGACCTGTTGACATCGAGTTGATTTCAACTCACAGGGACCCTATAGGACACTGCATAACTGCCCCAAGGCTGTAATCTTTACGGGAGCAGACTGCCACATCTTTCTCCCATGGAGTGGTTGGTGGGTTTGAACTGTCGACCTTTTGGTTAGCAGCTAAGTGCTTAACCACTGCACCACCAGAGCTCCTTCTCACAGTCCCCACTACTCCCTTTTACTCCCATCTGACCCTTTTCACTAACTGACATTACTTGCTGGCTCCTATGGTCATTTCTGTCACTTTGAGGACTATGGTGCACCTGACCCAAGCCACGGTATTTTCAATCGCCTCATATGTATGTGAAAGCTGGACAATGAATAAGGAAGACTGAGGAACTGATGCCCTTGAATTATGGTGTTGGTGAAGAACACTGAATATACCACGGACTGCCAGAAGAACAAACAAATCTGTCTTGGAAGAAGTACAGCCAGAATGCTCCTTAGAAGCAAGGATGGCGAGACTTTGTCTGACTTACTTTGGACATGTTATCAGGAGGGACCAGTCCCTGGAGAAGGGCATCATGCTTGGCAAAGTAGAGGGTCAGTGAAAAAGAGAAAGACCCTCAATGAGGTGGATTGACACCGTGGCTGCTGCAACAGGCTCAAACATAGCAACGATTGTGAGAATACACAGGAGTGGGGAGTATCTCATTCTGTTGTTCACAGGGTCGCTATGAGTCAGAATAGACTCAATGGCACCTAACAACAACAACATGGTCATTCCTGTTTGCAAGCCCTGCCTTAGGCAGAATGAGACAGCAGTCTCCAAATATCCAGAGGTCCAATCTGCACAAGAAAAAGAAGACAGTCTGTGAGCCTTCCAAATACAGAACAGGACCACAGTACAGGGAAGCAATTGTGTGCACAGCTGAAAGATGGACACCCAGCTGCCAGAGCTCCCCAACAAGCAATTCAGCAAAGGTGTACGTGGTCCAGTGGCTGCCTCAGGAGGTGGCAAGTTCTCCATCACTCGCTGGAGGATAAA